CGTGCAGCACTAAGCCTGGCTTATTTATTTATTTATTTTTTGAGGACGGAGTTTCACTTGTTGTGCCCAGGCGTGGCGGGAGTAAATGGCTATAATCCCGGCGCACTCGCAACCTCTGCCCTCCTGGGTGCAAAGCGAATTCTCGGTCCTCGCCTCGCCAAGTAGCTGGGATATTACAGGTGTCCACCACCACACACGCCGGGTAATTTTTTTGGCCTATTTTTGTAGGAAACAGGTTTGGTACCATGGTTGACCAGGCTGGGTCGTCGAACTCGGGACTCAGGTGATCCACTTGCCTTGGCCTCCCAAAGTGCGTGCGAATTACATGCCTGTAATCCCAGCTACTCAGGAGGCTGAGGCAGGAGAATGGCTTGAACCTGGGAGGTGGAGGTTGCAGTGAGCTGAGATTACCCCACCGCACTCCAGCCTGGGCGAAAGAGCAAGACTCTGTCTCAAACAAACAAACACTCCATTAGGTTAGCTAAATAACCAGTAATAAAAGAAAGAGTAAGTGAAGTTGAAAACAGAGCAGTAGAAATTACTCAATCTGAAGAAAAAGGAGAAAAAAGAATGAAAAGATAAATAAATAGAGCCTCAGGAACCTGTGGGACAATAACAAAGGGTCTAACATCCATGTAACTGGAACCCCAGAAAGAGAGGGGAGAGAAAATGGGGCAGAAAAAACAAATTAGGAGAACTGACAGCTGAAAGCTTACCAAATTTGTTCTGTTAAGTTAACTGCCTGCTGAAACAAATCCATTCCTGCTCTTTGGAGAAAACAGACTACAGTCTGGACACAGAACACTCACCATGCATCAGATACATTTCTAAACATACAAAGAACTGGAAAAATGTGACCAATTCTCACCAGAAAAGACAATCAGCATAGCCAATCTCAAAATAACCCAGATAGTGGAACTCTGAGACAGGGACAACGTAAAACGGTGATTATAACTGTGCTAAATGAGGAAAAGGAAAATACACTTAAAATGAATGAAAAGACAGGCGACCTTAGCAGAGAAACAGAAAGTATACAAAAGAAACAAATGAAAGTTCCCATCTGCGAGTTCTACACTGTGAGATGGGGTTCCT